TGTGTGTGTGTGTGTGTGTGGGTGTGTGTGTTTGTGGGTGTGTGTGTGTGTGTGTGTGTGTTCGCGGGGGGGAGGCGACCCCCCCACTGCCAATCAATCAATCAATCAATCAATCAATGTACACATGTTAATCAATCAACCAATCAATCAAACAATCAATCGATCAATCAATCAACAAAATTAATCAATCAATCATTTCTTTTATTTTTTTTTCACCCGGGACCAGAATTTTTTTATTTTCTTTTTATACTGTGTATTTTTTAATGGGGGGGTACCCCCTGACACCCGACCCCCCCCCCAGCCCATCCACCCCCTCAGCACCCCTCCAGAAAGCTGTGTACAGATGGCCCGAAGTCCGTACGTACAGGCCGTACGGGCACCGGGGGGGCCGTACGGACGGGCCGTACTTGTACGGCGGTATACACAGGCCATAATTGTCAGCTCGAAGAAGTGGTAAGCGCCGTGGTTGGAGATGTCCAAGCCATCAAAGGCGGTCGAGATCAGGTCACATGGGTGGGGGAAGGCCCGGAAAGGGGAAAAGTACGATCGGAGGTCGCGCAAGGGGAGTGCAAGGTCTCTCAAGGCCGGGAAGGAGGTTGCGCGAGGTGGAGAAAGAAGTCGCGTAAGGAGGAGGAGGTCGCTCAATCATAAGAGGAGGAGGAGAGGAGGTGAAGATGAGCGGGTTGGCAAGAATAGAGGGAGATGACATTGGTTCAAATTTGGAATTTGTGCATTTTTCCCTTAATGGTCTTTCATTGTCCATTTTACTCCTCTGTTTGTGTTTTTTCTCTCGTCGTCTTAAACCACCACAGTCCACCAGTACCTCGCCCGGCTATAAAAAAAAGTCGCGGCTGTTAACGCGCCGCGACTTTTGGGGGTCGGTAGCTCCAACGCCCGGTAGGTGCCATTTCTTCCCCCCCCCCAAAAAATCGCAAAAATTAAAAAAAAAAAACATAAAAGAAAAAAAGAAACGAAAGGGGCGGGGAGAGAGAGAGAGACACACACACACACAGAGAGAGAGAGAGAGAGAGAGAGAGAGAGAGAGAGAGAGAGAGAGAGAGAGAGAGAGAGAGAGAGAG